ATCATCATCATCATCATCATCATCATCATCATCATCATCATCATCATCATCATTATCCTATTCCTTCTCCTCCCCTCCTCCTCACCTTTCTGCTCTTACTACTACTCCTTTAGAAAAACAATAACAACAACAACAACAACAACAAGATAAAGAAGAAGAACAAGAAGAAGAAGAGGACGAAGGATGAAGATGAGGATTAAGAAGGAGGAGAACGCGGAGGAGAATGAGATAGAGTGGGAGGAGGAGGAAAAGGAGGAGTAAGGGGAGGGCGACAACCAATACGACTAAATTGAGGTAGGGGCATTAGCAAAAGTAAGAGAAGCAACAAAACATTAAAAGTAATAGCTCTAGCTCCACCCCCTTCTGTTCTTCTTTTTTTTTCTTCTCACCTCACCACAATGATAAAATGGAGAAAAAAATCTTTAAACATAATAATATCGCCTTCGGCAGCAAAACCCAAATGCCATATCGTCAAACTGTCTAGTACCTACAACAACCCCAAATTCTGGAAACTGAAACACAAGTCAAACTACGATCTGGAAATTGTCAGCGTCAAACTTCTCAAGGTGAGTAGGTATAATGACTCTTAACTCTTTAAAGGACGTCAGACACACACACACACACACACACACACACACACACACACACACACACACACACCACACACACGCACACACACACACACATATAAAAAACACACACACAAACACACACACTCATACACACGCACGTACACACACATACACATATGCACACACAGATACACACTTGCACACACATATGCACACACACATGCACACACACATACACACACACAAACACACACACATACACAAACACACAAGTACACATACACATACACACATGCACACACAGATACCCACTTGCACACACACATGCACACACACATACACACACATGCACACACATGTCCCCACACACACGCACTCGCGCCCACACACAAAAGCACACATACACAGACATATATACACACATCCAAACACACACACACAGACACACACTCACACACACACACACACACACACACACACACACACA